GCTCAGCAAACTGCCCAACAGCTCAGCGAGGTTTTCGGCTGCTGTGGACCGCTGCCGAGTTTGCTGGATTGTTGTAATGTTATTGTTTACATCCATAACCGCCATTTTTTCGCACTTCTTCGCCACATGTCCGTCACCAGACTGACTTTTAATTGCTTGTAATCGTTTATTGCGTCAATTTCGTAATAATGTGGGTGTTAATGAGATTTTTAAATGTTAAAAATATTAAATTTCAATAAAACTTAACCTCCAAATCCGCAGAATCCGACGGGAATTTAACAACGACACCTCGATTTTCTCCCGTCTGTTGAGCTGACGCAACGAACTACACCTCTAGAATGGCCGCGAGATAGCAAACCTGCGTAACGCGCATGGGCCGGTTTTTGAAGGCAGGAGGGGGGTGGGAGCCCAAGTATAGCTAACCTCAATCTGCATTTCTGCTGCGTCTTGCCCATAAGGATTACATGTGAAAATTTCAACCTTTGTAAACTTTCATATTTTTGAGGTTTTTTTTCAAAGTTCCTATTTTTTGAGTAAAGAAAACCATTTGAAGTGCGATTGTTCAGCAATCTCTTCATTGCTATCACTTTATTCAACAATATTCGGCAAAATGTGGGCAGCGTCTGACATGGGTTTAGATGGCAGCCTGCTGTGTGAGCCCAAGTAAACCTAACCTATATCAACTTCAAAACGTTCCGGGTCTCTAACACTGGTCAGCCATTCTAGAGGTGTAGTTCGTTGAGCTGACGTCGTCGTTGAGATGACGTCAATCCTGCTGAGATTCGGCCATTTTTGTTGGGCAGTAAAAGTAATTTAACAACGCACCTGATGCCTCCGCGAATAAAGTTAGGGCCCAGAAATGCAGCCAACCTCTGCATTTCAATTATCCAGAGCGATTTACTAATATTATTGTTACGAACCGTCGTTTATCAAGAACGTGTTTGACTCAGTTTTTGTATAAATTTACTCAAATTCGCGGAAGAACGCTCATTTCTGTACATTCTTGGCCATCTCGGTTAGAATTGGAATCTGCAGACTGGCAGTGAAATTTTGTGCGTTAGAAGTTGGTTGGCTGCACTTTTGGGCCCTAAGCCCTCCAGCGATCTGTCCATCTCGCTATACAAGTAGAGTACCTATATTGAGAGAGTATGGTCACTGGGGTTACCACCTCTGATTGGCTCAGCCATCTTAGGCTGAATGGAGCCCTTAGGACCCAAAAATGGCGGACGCCATAAATTAATGTAATGCAAAATGACTCAAAATGTAGTTTTCTTTGCTTATCGTAACGAGAAATTTACTCAAATGCACTATTGCGACATCTTTACATATTTTTAAGGCTAATCGTGTGCAATTTTTGAGAAAAATTATCGTAAATGTAGTAAGGTTGGCAGCACGTGCGGTTGGTGATAACCGTCAAAAGTTTGCAATGACCTCCCTCCCATCCACAAAAACCAAAACAAAGCACCGCCATTTTTGGGTCCTAAGCCTCTCCATGGGGCCAGGGACCAGTTCTATAGGACCCTGGACTCCCGTAAGAGTCAATGTAAAAATTCGTGAGCAGGTACTAGTGCTGCTATCTCGCGTAGGATCCTCGCAACTCACTGCTGTTATCAGTTGTTGGACTTCATTAAAATCCGTAGGATCGCGTATAACTGCAAAAATCGAATTTTTCACCGAACCGTTACATGCGGCATGGCGTTTTTCGACCCCTATCCTGTCGAAAGGGGTCGAAAAACGCCAAAAATATACTTATTTTTCAAGAATTCAGCCGCCTTATGTGTTATTTTTCAATCTCCGGCTTAACCTCACTTTAGGAGCGGGCGATGGATGAGTCGAGGTTCGGGGGGAAGGATCCTCTGAGTTGACTAGTATCCTACGCGAGAATGCGCTGCAATCACCCGCTCATCACAACAGAACGGCGTCCTATAGAACTCGTCCCTGATGGGGCCCAGTGGCCATACTCTCTCAATATAGGTACTCTATATACAGGTACTCTAGTGCGTACCATCTACCATCAAACTGCAGCCCAGAGGGTATAGAAGGTTAGAGGCCCGACTCAATGCTAGGTAATTGAAACAGAAGCGCTCGCAGCGCGCTCGCTAGCGACTTACGCAACTACTATTTTCTATTGTTTTCCAGTGACTAGCGGCGGGTATGTTGCTGCCGGACCACCTCCACGTAGGCAATATTTTATACATCGTCCGTCCGCAACTCTCACTTAGCCAATCAGCGCAGTGGTATGGGATTCCGCTCGCCGCGCACTCTCGCGCCAACGTACGCAACTGCTTGCTCACGGCTCCAACTTCTGTTTCAATTCTTCCCTATCCAGTCGGGCCTCTAACCTTCCATACTCTCTGGTCGGAAACAATGCTTTTCTTATGGGAGAGAACAAATTTTTCTTAATGAATCATTTAAATTTCTTACTTTTAAATTCTTTGAAGCTTTCTGAGTGTCGAAAGGAACGTTTAGAAATTAGCGTCAAGGGTTTCAATTCAGCTGAATTTGCGTTTTTATATTTTTAAATGATTTTTGAAGTCAGCGATGTAACAAGCCATCTAGTGGTATAGATTCGCGTGTAAAAATGGCTGATGCAGAGTAAACTGTAAAAATAAAAGAACACAAATTCGGCAAAATCGAAAATCCAGTCGGGCCTCTAACCTTCCATAGGACCCTGGACTCCCGTAAGAGTCAATGTAAAAATTCGTGAGCAGGTACTAGTGCTGCATTCTCGCGTAGGATCCTCGCAACTCACTGCTGTTATCAGTTGTTGGACTTCATTAAAATCCGTAGGATCGCGTATAACTGCAAAAAATCGAATTTTTCACCGCATTAATACATGCGGCGGGCCTTTCTTGGTCGAAAGGGGTCGAAAAACGCCAAAAATATACTTATTTTTCAAGAATTCAGCCGCCTTATGTGTTATTTTCCAATCTCCGGCTTAACCTCACTTTTGGAGCGGGCGATGGATGAGTCGAGGTTCGGGGGGGAGGATCCTCTGAGTTGACTAGGATCCTACGCGAGAATGCGCTGCAATCACCCGCTCACAACAGAACGGCGTCCTATAGAACTCGTCCCTGTCCATAGTTCCTGTTCCATACTCTCTGGGTCGGCGGCCGGTAAAGTACCTAGTTCGCGGTCGAGAGTTCGAGACCTGTTATGTATTCTGTGGAGACCTTTACTCTCCGAAAAACGGAGAGAAATAAGGCAATTTAATCTTGCATGATCGTCACCCAATTAAATTTGCAATTGGCACTCAGAGCCTCGAAAAGCCTGAATAAAGTATATTTTACTGGTGTTTTTCCTGTGTTTAAGGTTTGATTAATTGACTATTCTTACAATCATTCTTATCTTTAACTTTACTTACGGAAAAACGACACACATCCTACCCAGCTGTTGGAGTTGTTGGAGTTGTTGGAGTAAATACTGCAAATATGTAAATTTATATATTTATCTGAGGTGATAATATTCAAGGTCCTCTAGTAGCAGATACGCATACGTAGTAACTTTCAGATTTATGAGCAAAGATGCATAATTTCATGAAACTTTGCGAAAACAATCTTCATGAAACTGTCTGAAATGATTTTCCTCGAAAATTTATGAAATGATAGAACCCTGGACACTCCTTATGGAAATATTTGCCCTGTTTCTTCTAATTTATTGATGTAAACTCTTCCATGGATGCTTATGATAATTCATCATTGTGCTACCTTCCTGCGAGGCACCATTTTTGCTCAGTCTGCATTTGAAGTTTTACCAATAACTCAAATGAATGAAGGCAGTGCGGTGAGTTTGAGTCGAAAATATCCCTCTATCTTTCAGCCCGGCTGAAAACAAGGAAAAAACAGGCAAACCTCAGTGTGTTTATGTACCAATACAATGCCGAGTGGTAGTCCTATCTTGGATTCGACAAGTATATTCGTTTCTCCCAATCAGTTCCTTTCTTCCACTCTCTTCCTTACCACTTACTTACCAGCTGGAGTTTTCTTTGTTAAACTGCGGTGCTGCCTTCATTTATTCAAGTAATTATTGAAACCTGAAACAAACTTCAAAAGAGCTCATGTCAATCAGTTTCGTTTCAAATAAGAAAGAATGATAAGAAGTCAGTAGTGATGCGAATCAAAAGACATTTTTCTGAGGTCTGCCATTGATGCTTTCTTGTTTTAAGTATGTGCAGCTTATTTGTTTTATTTCAGAAACGAAAAAATGGTCGTTCAGCCAGCTTTGGACACTGCTGTACAGACTTGCCACAAGGCTGAAGATGACAGTTGCGATCAAAACATAGCACATTCCGACGCTAAAAGTTATGCTTCTTTTGTATCACCAAAAAGAGGATATGCTGACAAAATCACATGTGATTGTATCAAGACTGAAAATGGAGCTGTTGGCCCGAGAAAGTTTTCTGTTTCTTCCGAGTCTGATGATATGAGTCTGAACCCAATGTGTTCTTCCGAATCTCCTGCCAAATGTTGCCTGAAACAAAGATGTGGCTTATTCCTAGAAACTGGGTTTTTAAGCGATGTCACATTTATTGTAGGTGAAGGAGAGCAAAGACAAAAGTTTCATGCTCATAGAGTTTTCCTTGCAAGCGGCAGCGAGGTTTTCGGAACCATGTTCTGTAAAAAATGGTCAGAATTAGGTGAAATCGAAATTCCCGATGTCGAACCTGTAGCATTCTCTGCACTTCTCAGGTAATCTCTCAAGTATACAATCTTGACAAATGCCCCTTTGTTTTAACCTTTGCAAAGGTATTTAAGAATGTGTGTGTTAAAGGCAATGTCCAATACACAGCAAGTGTCATTAGTGTTGTCATTGCCTATCAGTTCTTACCAATGCACTTTTACAAACGAGCCAACGAGTCAGAATAGCGCCAGCCATTGACAGCATAGCGGTGCCAATTTAAGTATTTTATCTGTAGTAATGCTGTAACCTTACAAGCGTATGAAGGTTTCAGTAATGTAGATTCAAATAGAAAGAGGGCCACTCATCATAACGATGAGGCAAAACCAAGTGCCTCTCCGCCTGATTACTGCTGGATAGATCGATGAAATATAGTAGTAGGCTCAAATTGTCAGTATACTAATCGTAACTCATCACCACTTCATGCAGCAGCGAACAAGGTAGAAATAGAAAGCAGGGATAGTGGCAGTCAGTGCTGCATAATATAATTATAAACCACCAATCAATGGTACCTAGATATTATTAAGCATGCCAAAAAGCACCGCCCTTCCACTGAAATCAACTCATTGTCTCTGAAATAGAGGTCTGTCATCACTTGAATCCAAGAAACCCGGCGCCTACTTGGTGACTTAAGCAACTTAAACCATCAAAGCAACATAGATAGTAGATAAGTTTCATAGATAAAAAACATGTAGTAATCAGCAGGAAGAGATATCTAGATGTATAAATTGAGCAACAGCCCAATGTGTTTCAGTAATGAAAGAAGAAACAAAAATTTGCCATAGATTTTGTTTATCTTTCTAAAAGAACATCACGGTAAATGAAATTAAGATTTACCAGATTGCCAAGAAAACAAACATTCCCCAGCTAACAAAAAATGTGGGCCTCTCAATTAAAGTAAGAAAATCTCTAACTAAGTACACTTGACACCCAAAATCAAAATAGATTGAGAATTATATGCATGAATGAATTTATCAATAAGAACATAAAATATCATGATTATAATCGTCAAAAATACCCCAGTACAACAACCCTAAGCCATTAATTAGTCAATGTCTTAACAACATTGAAAGAATATGCAAGCAGTACGATATTTATAATTAAAAATAGTGATATTGCTAAGAAAGTCACCAAATTCCTGAATGATAACAATAGGGGAGAACTGGGTAAAGAGAGACCGGGGTAATGGGAGACTTTTGCTCCTGCTGCTGCCTATTTGAGATTTAAGTAATGAAACAAGAAGAAATGGACTCTTGGTCCATTTATACGTTCTTGTACAAATTCCGGACCGGATCGGACGACAACGGACCGCCGGAAGTGCATGTTAACATAACCTCTTTTTGGAACTGTGTTTTTAAGTTCGCTCCGTACCGCAGTTTTCGTGGATTTTGGAAAGTAAATTTTACTCCAAAATGAAAAAAATTATACCATTTTGTAGCTTAGGATATGTACTATATGACTATATTTTTTGTTTTATGCTATTTACAAATTTACAAGTCTGGCAGCAAAAGTCTCTCTTCATCCTGGGTCATACTTTTTCCAGGATAAAGAGAGACTTGGGATTTTTTTTCTCAAGGGTAATGAGAGATTTTCAGTCTCGATTCGTTTCACTGGGAAAAACATAATTGAAAGACAACAGAAACAAGATTCAAGGCTTCCAAATTCAAAGTAAATATACGAGTCCTGCTCCAGAAGTAGAGGGTTCCAAAACTAATGAAATTTTAACCATCTAATCTCCCTCCCCCACACACCCAACAAGGTACCTATGTACTATGTTCTAGATAAATAAGACCTGGAGACAAGTGTCAAAAAGCCAGCTAAGCAGGCAAATATTCCTCTAACATCAGAATAGTTCAGAAAAAAATCAAATTTTTTAACTGGTACCTACCCTGAAACCGCTCCACCGGCCAATTTTATCATAATTTCAAGGCCAAAATCTTCTCTGAAGCAACTTTTTTATGTTAAATTTCATTATATACCATTTAGATTATATTTAAGCCCCATTTTTGCGTTTTTCTGTCTCTTTAATAAAAATTTGAAATTTCAATTTTTGAATGGATTTTGTGAACTTCCCGTAGTCAAATTTCAAAACCCCGTAACTCATTCAGATTTTGTCCGATTGACCTGAAATTTGAAATGGTAATCAAACTCTAATAGTAGAACACTCTCATTGCCCTACCATATTTTTCCTATGCAATATAAGAGAAGATCCAGACCAGCGGGCCAATTATTGAAATTTAAACCAGCCCAATAAGACATCGAATTGCGATATATTGCATGGTTGAGATAGGGCTGTGTCTTGTCGTGTCGGGCTGACATAGTTTCAATAATCGGGCCGCAGGTCTCTCCTTTGTCCGTAATGGTAAAGAGAGACATGAAAAATGCAACAAAAAAAAAAAAATTAAAAAAAGTTCTTTCTATTGCAGTAACAGAGATGAAACATTGGGTAATAAAGTCTCATAACGTAACTAATGTACCCTGATTTTTTCAATTTTTTAACTCAGACAGGGAGCTCAGAAATAGGGGGGTAGGTCTCTCTTTACCCTGTTAGTCTCTCATTACCTGGTTCTCCCCTATTTGAGTATCGATTAGGATTCTATCAAAGAGCACATAAAAAAAATAATTGCGCTCATTCCCACTTATCACTAAGTACATAGTAAAACCATATACCTGACTGAAGTATACAATTCCAGTAACCTAAGATATCAGTTTTAACAAAGCCATAGCACCTATTTTTATGCCTGTCATTAAATTACTAAAGAATAGTAATTTATTTGCCTTCTTGTAAACCCCATTGGATACCCTTGTAACATCCACTTTTTCTATACTTGTTTTTGGACCATTTTTCTTTTAGGTATTTATACACTGATGAATTTTGTGTCACATCCGAAACAGTTGCTGGAACTCTGTATGCTGCCAAAAAGTATTCAATCTTATCCCTTGAAAACTTTTGCTTTAATTTTTTGATGGATAATCTATCTTCTGATAATGCCTTTGCTGTGTTGACTCATGTAAGTAAGTTCTTATTTTCTTTAAAAATTATGCATTTCATGTATACAGGGTGTCCCAGAGCACCCGCCCTAGGCCTTTTTCTTAGTTGATTTAGTTCGAACGAAGTCGGGAACCGCGGGGTTGAATAGGGAATCTCCAAGGAATCCGAATTTCATGGTCTCGAAACCCCCCCAGCGCTCCTTGGGGGGTAAAGGGAGAGCAACGATCTTAAAAGTAGGGGTTCTCGATCGAATTTCCATTCTATTTCTATTAGAATTGAAAAGTACGAAAAATTTCACATAAAATCGACCCCTAAAAATCCAAAATCGGACCACTTTACACCCAAGAATGAGAATGCGCACTGAGTTTACAGGAATCAATCCTTCATTAACGCACCATGGTACGCACCCACCATGGTACGCACCCACCATGGATTGTGGCAGACGCTTTGCTTGGTCAACAATCCAACCTCTGCGGGGCGATAGCTGGGAGGACTTTTTCGGATGCCATGTTGACTTACCCTGCAGTGTACTGAAGAAAGTAAAAATCGATCCTGTCCAATTAGTTTTCTCATTTTAGCTTTATTTCAATGTAATGATATGTTTTATTATTAAATGATTTCTTCATAAGTTTTCATGTAAAACCAACAAATTGAACTATTGGATGAACTTTTTGTGAAATCATTTTTCAAGATAACATTGCCTTTTATTCCTCCATTTTAGGCAAAACTTTTTGATGAGGAGAGACTCATTGATGCATGCCTTAAAGTAATTGATTGTGACACAGAGGCCTCCATTCTTGCAAGTGGCTTTCTTGATATTGATTCGGGATTGCTTCAGATGATTTTAGCACGTGACTCCTTGAGCATCAAAGAAGTTGAATTGTTCAAAGCTGTTCTCAGGTTAGATGCGAAGTCTTTGATCAGTTTTGTTTTATTTTAAATTAGTGATTATGAAATAATTTTCTCCCAGCTTGGGATAGAAATCAAGTCTACATGTATTCTGCCGTGCAACGCAAAAACGCCGTAAACACCACTTTACATTTTTTGGAAACAATGTATCCTAGCAAAAAAAACTTGTGTACTTAGGGAAAATGTTTTTACAGAATTCTTTCTCAAAAGCTACCGAGAACTTAATGGCGTTTTAATGCCGTCTTGGATTTTGCGGCATGTTAAGTTGGGTTCACTGCCGAGTGTGATCTACTGATGAGGTCTAAAAAGGCCCAAACCGGTATAGATCTCTCGGCGTGACTCCAACTTAATATTCCTATGCAAACTGCCTGAGCTGAACACTCTCCCCCCTCAGTTTCGTACTGGTGCGCATTAGAGCTCAAAAATAATTTTGACTCTAATTTTAATTTTTGGAACTCCTTGGCTTTGATTTCCCCGCGAAATGGTGTGGACCCAGCACCATTTCTCCACCTTGTTACATACAGTTTCGGGCCACTTCCTAGTGTTTTTTTCTTCATTTGCACGCACAATTTGGGGATATGTGTGCTCCCGTTCGGGAGCGGGCGGTTGCGTCTAGATGCGTTCGCATCTCCAACCAGCCTGATTATTATTTTTTCGGGTTTTCCTTGTTTGCTATGAGAGTTGTTCAGCGGCGACGGTAGATGGCGCGAGAATCACACTTTTGTGTCATGCCTCGGGTCATATCCATGACGGCGTTTTAATGCCGTCTCGGATTTTGCGGCATGTTAAGTTGGGTTCACTGCCGAGTGTGATCTACTGATGAGGTCTAAAAAGGCCCAAACTTGTATAGATCTCTCGGCGTGACTCCAACTTAATATTCCTATGCAAACTGCCTGAGCTGAACACTCTCCCCCCTCAGTTTCGTACTGGTGCGCATTAGAGCTCAAAAATAATTTTGACTCTAATTTTAATTTTTGGAACTCCTTGTCTTTGATTTCCCTGCGAAATGGTGTGGACCCAGCACCATTTCTCCACCTTGTTACATATAGTTTTGGGCCACTTCTTGGTTTATATATATATATATATATATATATATATATATATATATATATATATATATATATATATATGAGGATGTGTGTGTGTGTATACGGTTATTCAAAAGTCACCTACCACCCCTGTAACTTTTTTCCTAATTGAGATAGAAGTTTAAAACTTTGGGAATGTCCCTCGGTTTAAGGTAGCAACTTTTTGGTCCCCCCAAAATTTTTGGGGGCGGTCCCCTTAAGGGGGTCGGGGACTAACTTTTTTTTTCAAGTGGCAACCCCCCTTTTGTGATACCTCATTCGAAAGATAATAAAAAAGAAAATTTTTGGCGCAAACCGCAGGTCAAAATGTTGATTTTTGACAAATTGGCGGCCGGTCAAAGTTCTAAATGGCGCAAATTTGGCATCTTCGTTTCTTATCGGCGGATTGGTCTGAAACTCAGAATTCTAGGGTTTTTCGGGACGAGAAGCACGGTTGTGGCATTAGTTTTTCAAAATGTTAGTCCTTTTCAAAATGGCGGCTTAGAGCGGGAAATGGATATTTAGGCTGCTCATCGTCGGATTTGTATGAGACTTGGTATCCGGGGGTATTTCGGCACGAGAATAACGAATCTTTCATTGGATTTTTGAACTTTTTAAAAACTTTAAAATGGCGGCTCACGGCTATTTACTGACGGATTTGCACAACAGTCAATACTCTGGTGGTTTTTGGCTTTCATTAGATTTTTGAAACACTGAATATCGTCAAGATGGTGGCGGAAAAATAACGTAAAATCCGCATCCACCATCGCCATTCGCATTTTTGCCGCCATTTTAAAGTTTTTAAAAATTTCAAAATTCCAATGAAAGATTCGTTCTTCTCGTGCCGAAATACCCCCGGATACCAAGTCTCATACAAATCCGACGATAAGCAGCCTAAATATCCACTTCCCGCTCTAAGCCGCCATTTTACCGCCGCCATTTTGAAAGGGACTGACATTACTGGAAAACTAATGCCAGAATCGTTTTTTTCGTCCTGAAAAACGCAGGGATTCTGAGTTTCAGACCAATCCGCCGATAAGAAACGGATATGCCAAATTTTCGCCATTTTGAACTTTGACCGGCCGCCATTTTGTCAAAAATCAACATTTTGACCTGCGGTTTGCGCCAAAAATTTTCTTTTTTATTATCTTTCGAACGAGGTATCACAAAAGGAGGGTTGCCATTTGAAAAAAAAAGTTATTCCCCGACCCCCTTAAGGGGACCGCCCCCAAAATTTTGGGGGGACCAAAAAGTTGCTACCTTAAACCGAGGAACATTCCCAAAGTTTTAAACTTCTATCTTAATTAGGAAAAAAGTTTCAGGGGTGGTAGGTGACTTTTGGATAACCCTGTATACAGGGTGTTTCAGACCACCCGCACCAGGCCCTTTTCTCGGTCGTTTTAGGTCTTACGAAGTCGGGGACCGCGGGGTTGAATACGGAGTTGACCCCAAGGAATCCGAATTTCTTGAACGGCGTCTTGGCTTTTGCGGGCCGCCCTCTCTTTCGCTTCTGGCCCAACGGAATTGTTTCGGCCTCTGGTGGTGCATTCACTAATTTCAGCCGGATTTGCATTGTCAATGTATGTTTACAAATGTGTTTTTTCAGGAAGTGAGGGCATGTGCAATCGAAGTCATTAGTATCCTGTTCATTAATTGAGATGGTCCAAATAGTCCAGTACCACATGTACAAATAAGAGGTCCCGTGTGCAGCTTCGTGGGTAAAATTGTTGTGATATGTCATTCTCTTCTTTAGGATGTCTAGAATCAGAATTTCGATGGTGTCAAGTTCAAAAATTGAACCGACGCCCAGAATTCAAGATGGCGTCCAAGATGGCCGCCGCCATGGTGAAAGTTTTAAATTTTGCGGATAGCGTCGAGTCAGATGTCGATTCCTATGTAAAATGACACGAGGAATCCGAATATCACATTTAAAAACACCCCCGACCCAAAGGAGGGCTCCAAATCCAAGATGGCGGCCAAAAATACCACTCAGGGGTACTAATTTGCCTATACGGGCCCAAGTGCATAGTGAGGTATCAATTATTAGGTTTTCGGGGTCGTAGAGTCCGAAAATGAGGTCCATTTTTCGCTGCGGCCCTCCAGAGACCCTAAAATCAAATATGGCGCCCAAAATGGCCACCGGTTTTACGGCTGAAACACCAATTTAGCGCAGCTATGATAAGCAATACGTTCAAAATTTAGTTTTGTGGGGCAAGGAGTTCGAATAGGAGATCAAATGTTTATTCCTACAAAAAATTAAGCCTCCGAATCGAAAATGGCTACCGACATGGTTGCCAGTTAGAGGCGCAGGCCGGTAAATGACTATTGATATTAAGGGGATTTGCCAAAGGAGCTAGGGGTTTCGATAAGGGCCGTTTTTCGGCCCATACCCTGAAATTCTTCAATTTTACGATTTTTTTGCTTCTTGGGAGTCTAAATTTTACGGAATGTGTCATGCTTTTGTCATTTTCGGCCTATTTAGGGGTCTAATGCTGGCCTAAACATGAGTCTGAAGGCTAATTTTTGCGGAAAATTCGGGTTTCTTGGCATTCGACGCGCTGCGCCCGCTGTTTCATAACGATCAAATATCATCGGAGGAGCAAATTTTCCTTCAAGTATGTTCATTAAGGGTGTAAGATATAGTCACTCTGGCCAACTTTCGTCGATGGCAACCCTTGTGCTCAGTATTCGAAACTCACAGGCGCCAACGCGCCAAATGCGCCTAAAACATAGGTCATTGCTTCTAAAAAAGAAGGCTCTGCGCCAACGTGGCCCTTAAAAATTGCCCCTTTAAAATCTGAATTTTCATATTAGGTGATCATTCGAAATTTTCAGCATTACAATTAGTGAGAGCTTTTTCTATTCTTCACGATTTCATCCTTAGTGCTTTTGTCTTCACCAAGTCACAGCTACCTACTAGTTCTGTTACAAAAACATCTAAATTTGCGTCTAATTTTTCACTAAATATGCCGTAATATATAGGCAAAAAGTCAATCTGGCCCCTAAAAAATCTTCAATGGCGCCTAAAATTCAGGCTTGATGCGCCCCATGGCTCCTAAAACTCAAAGGTGAGTTTGGAACACTGCTTGCGCTCATAGTGAAAACGAAATTTTTAGACTTTACTTGTTTTTCATCATTATTTAGATGGCGTCTGATTAGATCACAAATCTTAGAAATGTGTAATCTTATTAGGCGCAGTTCGAGGCTTTCATAGCGCAAATTTATCATAAAATGCAGAAAAATTACGCTTTCGTACCTTTAACACAACATACTTTCGAATTGTTGCATTTAACAAATCTGAAATTTGTTTGAAATTTTAACTCTGTTTGGACGCATTTCGAGGCTACCGTAACACAGATCTTCATGAATTTCCGCAGAAAAACTTTTTTTTTACCTTAACACGAAATACTTTCGAATTGTTGCAATCAACAAATCTGGAAATTGTTTGAAATTTAAACTGTATTTAGACGCATTTTTTGACGAAAATTTTATAAAATACTAATCAAATGAACACTGTGGTTTCATTTAAGACTCTACATCAAAAGAGATAAATATCTTCGAAGGCCTCAAACTTTTTCTTTTCTCGTCTTTCCTCATCATCTTCTGTCTCCTCTTTCCTTCACTCTTTCCCCCTTTTTTTTGCTTTCGGAGGGGGGGGGGTGGGGGGCTTGAGCCCCGTACCTGAAAGTGACATAGAACCCTGTGGGCATATCCGGGTGGTATTACCAACGGCAGGTGGACGGTAGAGTCGTGGGCTGCCCAGCGCATATTGCATCTGTCATCTAGTACCTCGCTCATTACAGATATGAGGCTGAACTAGAAAAACTAAGCGTTTGCTAGATGAATACGCGTCATTTCTCCAAAATTCTACAATGGTAGCTCCAAATGAGTTGTCTGATGGGAGGAACCTGATGAAGAGGCAACAGATGAGGAAGCGGTAAGGAGGCTAGGCAGGAGTGAACCAGGAAAACCAGAGTTTCCAATTATTTTTGGGAAGTAGAATTCTGATCGATCGCAGGCAATAAAAGTGACGGAGGGCAGGGCTTGTCAGGGTGGGTAAAAAATCAGCATTGAGAACTCGTGATTCTGACACATGGCTTACTTTTTATTCGGATCCCAGATCACGGTCAATGTTTCAAAGTTGCATCTTCGTGCGTAAATATCACGTCAAAAATTCGTAAGATAATGGGTCGCCTACAAGCCCAAGATCATAAAAAAAACTTTACCTGCAAAAAATATGATCTATTTGCATCCCTGAATACAGTAATTTGAGTCCTACGTATTTATTTAATGCGCATAATGCGAAATAATGGCTCAAATCTTGGGCCAACTCGGAATAATTTTCTCGATTTTTACCGATGATATGTGGCAATGCCGCGCCGCGATGGGAGTCTCTTTAGATAAATACATGTAATGAACAAAATAATAATAGATAAATGCATGTGCATATTCACTAGTCATGTGATCGTTACGTATGAAAAATCAAGGGTTTTGAACTTTGCTGAATGAGCTCGACGAAGAACAGCCTCCAAATACTGAAATAATCACAAATAGTTTTCTGTGATTTTAGGCAACAAAATATGGCAACACCGGCTTTTTCTTTGGAGGGGGGGGGGGGCTTTTAATTCCATAAAGTTTTTTGGAGGGCTACGTACAATTTCCGCCAAGGAATCTATTTCTGGTTTAAGATGAGTAGCCCTTTTTTATGCCATTTTAATAATAATGATGAAAAACAAGAAAATTCTAAAAAGTTCGTTTTAACTATGAGCGCAAGGGTTGCCATCGACGAAAGTTGGCCAGAGTGACTATATCTTACACCCTTAATGAACATACTTGAAGGAAAATTTGCTCCTCCGATGATATTTGATCGTTATGAAACAGCGGGCGCAGCGCGTCGAATGCCAAGAAACCCGAATTTTCCGCAAAAATTAGCCTTCAGACTCATGTTTAGGCCAGCATTAGACCCCTAAATAGGCCGAAAATGACAAAAGCATGACACATTCCGTAAAATTTAGACTCCCAAGAAGCAAAAAAATCGTAAAATTGAAGAATTTCAGGGTATGGGCCGAAAAACGGCCCTTATCGAAACCCCTAGCTCCTTTGGCAAATCCCCTTAATATCAATAGTCATTTACCGGCCTGCGCCTCTAACTGGCAACCATGTCGGTAGCCATTTTCGATTCGGAGGCTTAATTTTTTGTAGGAATAAACATTTGATCTCCTATTCGAACTCCTTGCCCCACAAAACTAAATTTTGAACGTATTGCTTATCATAGCTGCGCTAAATTGGTGTTTCAGCCGTAAAACCGGTGGCCATTTTGGGCGCCATATTTGATTTTAGGGTCTCTGGAGGGCCGCAGCGAAAAATGGACCTCATTTTCGGACTCTACGACCCCGAAAACCTAATAATTGATACATCACTATGCACTTGGACCCGTATAGGCAAATTAGTACCCCTGAGTGGTATTTTTGGCCGCCATCTTGGATTTGGAGCCCTCTTTTGGGTCGGGGGTGTTTTTAAATGTGATATTCGGATTCCTCGTGTCATTTTACATAGGAATCGACATCTGACTCGACGCTATCCGTAAAATTTAAAACTTTCACCATGGCGGCGGCCATCTTGGACGCCATCTTGAATTCTGGGCGTCGGTTCAATTTTTGAACTTGACACCATTGAAATTCTGATTCTAGACATCCTAAAGAAGAGAATGACATATCACAACAATTTTACCCACGAAGCTGCACACGGATGCACATGTGGTACTGGACTAAAATGCTGTAGTGGCTTTGCTTAAATTGGTCGAATGTCTTCCACTTAGCGGCCACGCGGCTTTAAAGAGGCTGTCCCATTTTTCATAGGAAATGGCCGCAAGAGATTTTCCATCCATACTTACAGGAATAATAACGGATCATCGGAGAGGCCTAAATCCGGTGACCTTTTCCGTCCAACCCTCCAAGGGGGAGGGGGTCAAAGGTCAAACGCACAGACCGCCATAACTTTTGAACGAAGCAACGGATCAACTTGATCTTGAGCTCCAATGAAAGCTCTCAACAAGACCTTTCATTTGATGTATATTTAAGTCTGTTTTTGGTAATTTTTCTAAGTGAAAAAAATCGTTGTTTGATTTTTCAAGCCCAAAAAATTTAGTTTTTCGGTTTTTTCTATGAAAGAGAAAGCATGAATCGTTACAAAAAGCAATTTAAATGAAAGTCCTTGATTCAACCTTTAAAACGAGCTATTGTGAACCTGGGACAATAAATGGTTCAAAAGTTATGACCGTTCAAAGTTGGCGTGGCGCGCTATTTTCGAAGCGCGCGTAGTGTACACTTGCTTGCCACCCTTCCCTAGCCCTACCTTTTCCCCTGGTGCCCACTTCAGCTGATAACGGATACAGAAAGGTCCAAACCTCCTTCCACCTAAAGAATGGTCAATCATTGGTGCAAAACAAAGACATTAAGATGGAGCGCTAAAAGCAAAAAATGAAGCTTCTTTTCAACCATCCCTACTATTGGCTAGAGGATTGGCGGCAAAATCGGGACAAGTTTGAAATTCAAATGTAGAGCTGGAACTAAATAAAGTTGCGGAAACAAAGTATTCTAGGTTGAATTTTGCCCAAATTCACTTACCCACTCATACTTTTTAAACTTTAGGTTAGATTTGGTCCGTCGTCGACTGATTAATTTCATTTGGGAGTAACGGTCATCTAGGACTGTAATGGCCTGTTTAAACGGGCAGGACCACCATGAGCAGAAGAAAAACTAACTTTATCTGAGATTACTGCCTGTTATCGAGAAAAAGTAAGTGTATTATAAAAAGTCGCAGCCCCAACTTTCTTAATATATTCGTTTTAGGCATTTAAAATACGTTTAGAAGAAGAAATGTGGAAAAATCAAGAGGACAAGTTCAAATTAAATTTCCGTTTGCTGCCATGGATTCCCACGCTCATTTACACACTCACACAAGCACCCAGTGCCAAACCAGGCTTCACTTTTTCCCCGTGCTTGTAGATACAAGCACTCCATCTTTATGTCTGGTGCAAAATTACTTTCATTTCTAACGAAAAAAGGAAATAAAAATAAATTAAGTGCTAATAAACGACAAGACGCTGGCATACATTATTTTTTCGCCCTCCCTCCATGATTAAATATTTAATAGCCAAATCAAGCCTCTCATCATTGCGGTATCTAATTATTCCTGTGCAGGTAAATCTTGATGAGAGGGGAATAGATTGGAGAGAGGTGAGGGAGAGATATTCAGTTGTAAATTCGAGTTGCAAGTGCTGGTGTGCTAGTTGCGCACTAGAGCCTATGAATATTATCGACAGCTTTTGAGTGTATTTTGCAGTAAAAGAGGCTTGATTTGGCTTTTAAATATTTAAGCATGGATTGGGAGGGAGGGGGGGGCGAAAAAATCATGTATGCCAGCGTCTCGTCGTTTATTAGCATTTAATTTATCTTTATTTCTTTTTTTTGTTAGTAATGAAAGTAATTTTGCACCAATGATTGGTCATGCCTTAGGTGGAAGGAGCTTTGGACCTTTCTGTATCCGTTATCAGCTGAAGTGGGCACCAGGGGAAAAGGTAGGGCTAGGGAGGGGGTGGCACGCAAGTGTACACTACGCGCGCTTCGAAAATAGCGCGCCACGTCAACTTTGAACGGTCATAACTTTTGAACCATTTATTGTCCCAGGTTCAACGATAGCTCGTTTTAAAGGTTGAATCAAGGACTTTCATTTAAATTGGTTTTTGTAACGATTCATGCTTTCTCTTTCATAGAAAAACCCGAAAAACTGAATTTTTTGGGCTTGAAAAATCTAACAACGATTTTTTTCACTTAGAAATATTACCAAAAACAGACTTAAATATACATCAAATGAAAGGTCTTGTTGAGAGCTTTCATTGGAGCTCAAGATCAAGTTGATCCGTTGCTTCGTTCAAAAGTTATGGCGGTCTGTGCGTTTGACCTTTGACCCCTTCTCCCTCCCCCTTGGAGGGCTAGACGGAAAAAGTCACCGGATTTAGGCCTCTCCGATGATCCGTTATGATTCCTGTAAGTATGGATGGAAAATCTCTTGCGGCCATTTCCCATGGAAAATGGGACAGCCTCTTTGGTTAGACGTTTTTGAGTGATATTCTCAGACATAGTAAAGGAGGCCGTGAAAAACAGTGACCTATCTTTAACGGACTGTTTTAATACCTTCTTATTCATACAGTTCCATCGGTATGCAGATGTCCATTCCTTCAGTGAAGCAGTCGGTCGTGCAGCGAACGAGATGCCGTTCACTGATGTAGCATTTCTGACCTCCGACCATTTTACTACCAGGTCATTTGCACTTTTCAAAAATTGGCCAACAGGCAATCTCTCTCTGAACGTGTGCTCGCGTTTTATGACTGCATTTGTTCCTTCCAATCCGTTGTTGGTGGATGGGAACCCCGCTGCAGCTCCTTCATACCATTTCGAATATTTCTTAAGCCATTGTGTTTCGAAATAAACCGTGAATTCTGTCACTTTTTCGTCTTCCGTTGAGGTCCACTTCTTCATAAACAACTCTGATGCTTTTTCAAATGCGAGGTCATTTTGGCACAGCTGTAGAGCGTGCATGTCATCTTTCAAATCTTTGTATCTCTTACCTTTAGTTAGAACTTTAAGGTGTTTTTCACTTTATTTATTTTTTCGTTTCAACTCGCAGCAGAATTCTGTGATATCAAACGAAAATGTCGTGCAAAAAATACCACGCAGTTCAATAAATTTTGCGTGCATTCAGACGATTTTTGTAAAAAAAAATTGCGTGCAAACCTCTTTTTTTGTGTGTGCTTTATTATTCCCCTAAATTGTCACATTTGCACCAATATCTGTTTCAGGTGGAGCGAGGCCGAATGTGAACGGAAACATCTGCCTGTAAACGAAATAAATCAGCAAGCAGTGATGGCAGAGATATTGCAGCTTATACGATTTCCATTAATGTCCATCCAAGAGATCTCATCAATTGTAGCATCTGCAAATGTTATGTCAAAAGAAAATTTACTTTCTATTTTTACATATCTCTCTTCGAATCCAAAACCATCGATCTGTTTCAATGCAATACCTCGTCTTTGGGAAAAATTCAAAGTAAACAGGTTTCAAGAAGTTGCAGCAGGTTTTGATTTTCAAAATGACCTAGAACTGGGAGAATTTATCATGTGAGTCAACATTCTTCTCATCTTTTCACACAGAGTTTTTTTTCTTCTCATTAAACCATTGATTATTACTAATAATGGGATGAAGAGGTTAGTAAGGGTGAAAATGTAAAAATGTCAATTTTTGGGTAATGTGTAATTTCTTTGTTCACAATAGGCCCCTATATGATGACACAGCCTCCACAGGGTCTCTGGAGAGACCATACTTTTTACCCTGTGGTCGCACTTTACAGCCTAAAACAGGGCTGCATTTACTTCTTTGCCGCCCCCTTCTTGTCCTTTATTAAACAGCAATAAGAATAATCGAATGGACCTGTCGAAAGGGGGGGGGGTGCATAAGACGTGTTTATTTACTCGTCTTGGCCGCGTTTTCTGTGAAATCCCAGTCCATTCTACCATAAGTTCTCGGAAATTTGTATGAAAGTTAAAGCTGCTATCTCTTATACCACCAAAGGATGATAAAATTAGAAGTTAAGCACTATAGTTTTATACTCTCGGGAAATAAGAAATTTTGCCATCTTTTCTCGTTTGTATTTTTTTTTTTTTTT